TGAAAGTGTTTGTTTTTTCAACAAAAAAAAAAAAAAAAAAAAAGAAGAAAAAAAAGAAAAAAAGAAAAAAAAAGGAATCACAAGGCAAAATTAATCACTGTCTACATCAACTATGATGCAGGAGATATCTGTGCATTAAAAGAGATGAGCCATATTGAGGATTCCAAGGTTAAATGAGTTTATTGAGTTAGTGGTTACAATGGTATGTCAGATACCTGTAATCCAAGCTACACCTACATATTTGCCTCTAAATTCTCACACTGTCAGTTTCTGTGTCTCTAAACATTCCACCACCAGGTCTTCTATTACTAATATAATAATAATAATCATAATCATAATAATAATCATAATATAAAAGGCAATGTCAATCACCATATTGTGCTTCATACTCCACCATAAGGAATTCAATTGGCAAAAGTAAACCTCTGGTCATTGTAATGGGATTAATTGAAATGTGAGTAATCATAACACTACTAGAACATAAAGAACAAAATATGGTTTAAAAGAAGCATTTTTAAGATGAATTAGTTTGTATCTGTTTTAAAAATTCACATACTATAATGAAGATGACTTAAAAGTTATATCATTTAATTATTGGGCCACACATTTAAGCATATTGGCTAGTACATTTTTGCACTGGCACAGAAGCAATACAAGCTTTATGGTCTACCATTACAATTTCTTTTTTTTCACTTAATATACCTGCCAACCTAATGTTTCTTGCATGCATAAAAATTTCTGGGTTTAGAGTTGAATTTATTATTTAACCCACACGTACCCCTATAATGCAAATTCTTTGGCCAATTTAATGCTATAGTTTCGTTTAAAAAGTAAGCTTGGAGTAAGTCCATTTAACGTCAGAAGAGAATGCCTTAAATTTTGGCATTGCAGAGTTAGTTACTTCAATAGAGTCTCAGGTTGCATGCAAATTGCCACTGCTTCCCCCCACCCCATGCCAGACGCATACAAGTCGGCAGGTATGCATACAAAAAGAATATAAAACCCTCCTGGTAAAGCTTAGTGTTTTAGAATGAATCCATAGCTTTAAATTCACTTAAGGCCTGTACAGGGGAAATATGTTTCTTCTGGGACCCTCTCCTCACTCTTGTCTGATATTCTTCTGGTTTTTCTCTCTTTACTAGAGGTTTCTTCTCAGGGGCCTTCATCTTCCAAGATACAACTGGTGAGTTCACTGCAGCAGTACCATAGACCTTCTGATATTTAGTAGAAGCCACGTACGATGCTTTCACTGTAAGGACCACAGCATTCATCAGATTTTTAGCTGCCTGGATGAGAGAAGTGGCACTGTCCAGCTACAAATAGAAAAGAAAATGAAATACAGCAAGGTTAGTCCATGACTGGATCACTGGACTGTTTCCTGACTGAAGTCTGGATACTCTCAGATCTCATTAAAGATGAAATGAATCCTTTCCCTCAGGATTAATCAAGTAGCTTGTAGTAACAAGCACCAGCAACAACATGCACCAAACTGTAAAGGTAAGACTGTGGTACCTCACATTAAATTTTTTAATAATTCAGAAGAAAAGCTTATGTTGGCTGTTTTTTTGTTATTGATTCTTTTTCTATGGGTGAAGAAGTTGCCTCTTTTTTCACAAAAAAACATGACTTCTCACTTAAACATTCAAAAATTTACTTTTACATGTCAGAAACCGCAAAACAGATCAACAGGGATTTTTCCAAGTGTTCAGGTTTGTTCTAATTATTCCTATTAAGCCCAGGATAACACCCCCAATGATGTCTACAGGAACAGTGTGAGGCCAGTGCTGAGCTTGTTAGCGAATCCCATCTGAAAAGATGAAAGGAGATTTTGAAACCCCTAAAGAAATAAAAAATGAAACAGTTAACTGCAGGTTTTTGTAGCTGCTGTAATATTTGAGATACTTATGTTCATAAGGAATCTTACTTTATGATTAGCAGGCTTTTCGTACGTATACCCTTGCGTTTCTCCCGTGCATGAGTCTGCCTGAGGTTCCTGGGTCCTCTGGATGCAAGAGGCCTTAAGAACTTGTTGAATTTCAAACCATTGGGACTTCCAGTCAATAAGTTTCCATCATACACTGAAATCAAGTACATATCCCTGGCCAAATTCTTCAAAAGGATTTAAGCATATAGTGGGACTTCCAAAGCAATGTCTCAATGTTCCAAAATGCAAATTAAGCACTTACCAAATCCAACTGGACATCCTCGAATTGGTAGGTGCTAAAAATACACTCTTAAGTGCTGTAGCAACCCAGGTTACTATTTAGGATGTTCAGTTATTCCTTTCCCAAAATACTGAGAAAGTGCGATATACTTTTGTGATAAAGCTTTTCAGTTCTACCATGGAAGCTGCCTCAATTTTTTATGAGTCTTTCCCAGTTTGTAGGAACGATTTTGGATGAAATATTATTTTAACTCTTTAATTCCACCCCACTTGCTCAAGTAAGTTCTTAGCTATTTTTAATTAGTATAAAAGGCCTATCTCCCTCTAAACTTTTCCTGCTCCATATTTTGGGAGCATATGATTCCTTAACGTGAATTCTAAGCAACGTAACCAGGATAAATACTCATAAGGCAATAACAAAACCCATACTAATACTTCACCTCAAGTATTCTGAATCATTAACAGAAGAAGAGTTCAGGAGAAACCTCTTTCTGAAGTGTCAGTGACTGATATGAACAAGAACAGACATTACAGAAAGCCTGTGTCTGGAACCATGTTAATCTATAGACTTACCTATTATTTTTTATTTCCTCAGCTGTGGCCTTATACTCATTATGATTCATTAAATGCATAAACAGCTACATACAGTGAGGTGAAACACAAAAAAGCGTTTTAATGATTTTCATGTACTTGGTGCCATTCCCTGAAATGCATAGTTAATTGCCTGCCCCAGTAAATATTTTTCCTCAGGACTAATTTGTATTTTCTGTTAGTAAAAGAAACTAAGTTAAAAGATGGAAAATTACATTATATGGCAGAAACATGACTGTTCAATAGGGAGCAATGAAATATAATTCAGTATAGTGTTAGTCTATAACCACACTACTGCATGATTTATAAGGCAATCTGTATGTTTGTTGGCAAATAACAGATCATACTCTATTAAATTAGGATATTCTAATTTACTGCAGAGATCTACGATCAAGCATTATTCATTGTTAAATGATTCTTTTTGAAATACTGGTGAATTGATATTAAATATAAAGTGATACCGTCAAATAGTATTTACTTCATAATCAACGGACTGGATCAAGCCTGTATTGCACATTCCTGAATGAATTCTATTTGTTGAAGGTTTCTAATAGCCTCACATTTGCCAGCGTTTCTTTATGAAAAGATTTCTGGTAGCTGTTTTACATGGGGCATATATTAAGGAACAGAATGACTAAAGGAAGCATTTTGAAATGAGGAGGCACCTAAATTAGATGCTTAAAACTATGCAAAGGATGCAACCTACATCTTTAAACACATTAGTTATTTTATGGAGTATATTGATAAAGGTGTGCAGAAGCATGTACTTCTGCAAGATTGGATGCGGATTGCAACAATGTCTTTTAGAAAACCGCGTTACATCTTTTGATGCCATTTTAATTACCTCTAGTTTCAATCTGCTGTTATAGTAGGTAAGAGCTCCCTATTTTCACCATTATTAATCACATTTTAACATGCAGATACTTAGTCCTTGCCCTTAATATCCATTCATATTGTAAAATGCTTTCAAGTCTTGGAATCAGAAAAGAGACATAAAAACCCCATAATAGTATTAGGCTATGAGTGTTCTCCAAAATCTGCTGGTAGCCATCCCATGTACCCAATTTGGCTACCTAAGCACTTCCAGTGATTTTTCTTATTGCCTCCAGCTCCTTGCTTGTGTTATGGCTCAGTAAAGAAGAATTAAACCAAATGAACATCATTTCAATTAACATTTAGATCTTCCTACACCACTGTGTTACTTCAGTTTTAAGCTGTGCTTTGTAATCAGCAGAGCTACAGTGGCATAAAGCTGGAACGAGGCAGCAGTGAATCAAGCCCTTAGTGCGTTAATTCCTTACAAAATCTGGGCACAGAAACTTACGCACTTTTCCAAACAGATAATGTTAATAATAATAAAAAAAAAAGAATGGAAATTAACATTTCTAACCACTAGAAGGCAAACTTCACTCCCTAAAAATGGTTAGGGAATTGTGAATATAACGATAGCTTTTCATGTTAACAGCTAACAGAGCTTTTGACTTGCTACACAAAGTAATCGTGTTCTGCTACTTAGATCTCTTTACAAATACATTTGCCTCCATTTAGGAAAAAAAGCCCTCTTAAACATAAGAGATAAATTGAGGTTATTGGCCCATAAAACTCCAAGTACAGAGAATGCTTGGCAAAATTCAAAATCCATAAAGAACCTAAGAATCGCTGAACTGGAGCCGGTCACTTATACAGGTTAAAACTACCATCTACCCAGGGAAGGCATAAATCGCTCAGAAAAAAATTAAAAAAGATTTTGCTACAAGGTAACTTTGTAATTAGTGAATCCAAGGGTAGAACACTGGAGCAGCAGAGCCTATTACCTGCCAAGAAAATAATTTCAGGGTTTTTTTCCCCAAAAAATCCACAAGGCTTTGAAGAGTTTTTGATCTGCTTATAAGCTATGCTGCATTTTTCCTGCACTCTATGCAGAATTTTCCAGAATCTTGTGACAATCAAGATTTCTTGTTTCTTTTACACGTAAACTTAATCTAAGTAAAATAACCAGCAATTACAATACCAAAATAGCTGAAGAAGCGGGAGACAATAAAGGTGGAAAATTTTCTCCTTAACAGTAAAGCAAATGAAAAGAGATGTTCTCCCTGCATTATCACACCACCGTAATGGGAAGGAATTATACCACAGATTTTAGAAAGGAGAAAATCTAATTTCCAGAGATTTCTTCATATTTATAATCAGAAATATACTACAAAAAGTAAGGGAAATAGAGAAAGAAAATCTGTATTTCCAGTGAGCAAGTACATAGTATAGGTAGTTTTAGAAGAGTTGGTTGTTTAAGAATGTTCTATATCATTATTGTTGATTTTAATAAACCTTGAATAGTGGGGGAAGACATCAAAAGAGTTGTAGATAGTTCCTAGTCTGGAAATATTTGAGCAGCGCAAATAGAATGACCTATGAAATTATAGGCCAGTTCAGCTGATTTTCATTCTCAAATAAAATAATGCAATGTCCATGACAGACTCCATAAATAAAGGGAGGAAAGAAATACAGTTAACGGTAACCAAATGGTTTTGTGGGTAAAAATATTTTCAAAGTAACCTACATCATATTTTGATGTGATTAAACTTTGGATTGCTTAAAATAATGCTGTTGATATAATTAGACCTTTGAAATGTGTTTTGCTTTGTACTACATTACAGTTTGATTAAAAATGCAGCTGATACAAAATTAACAAGGCACATACAGAATGATTCCAAATTCTCTAACAGGTAAGCTTCCAAAAATATGCATACACAAAAAAATTAGTGCTAAACAGTGACTTTTTCAGTGTGCTCTTGGAGAAACCATTTGTCAGCTTTACAATATTAATATTTCTGTTTAAAAACTTGGAAAAAAGTCACTTAACTGATGAAATTTGCAGATAACATAACAATTGGGAAAGTGGTAAGTCATACAGAAGGCAAGTGATATCTAATAAGCTAGTAAAAGTCAGAAATGTAGATTTCAGTTTGGCCAACTTTATAGCAGATGATACCTACTCATAAAATAAGGAATTTTATCCTATGCAGGATCCTAGGCAATCACTCCTTGAGTATACAAAAAGGAGGACACTGATAAATAGGTTAAATTATCATATTCAGTTTATCGTGTGTCCACAGTTATAGAATACTGAGTCCTCTTCTCAATGCTGAGGAACTGGAAAGAATTTAAAGAACCTCAAGGACAAAAAACATCTTTTATGGGAAAGACTCAGTCAGCTCTGTTTTTTCCATAATAAAGCAAACGATTAAAAAATGAGTTGATCAAAATCAGCAAGTACATAGTAACAGAAAGCTGACAATATTTCAAGTTCAACAGATTAGACAAAGATATAACAGAACTTAATGGCTGAAAGGTGAACCAGGTAATTTTAGTTATTAGTTGGCTGAAAATTTTTAGCAGTGATATTAATTAATCACAAGAACTCATGAAAGGTAGAATCAGAGATAGAATCTCTAGAAATTGTGAAATCAATATTGGATGTTTTTGCTTAATATGTACACTCTAGTTTAAGCATAACTATTGGACCTTTTTAATGCACATTAATTCAAGGAGCCTGTACAT